TCTTTCCTCTATTTCCTTTTACTTTCCTCTTGTCCCACTATCATGCTCAGCCTTCATTTGGGTTTCAGTAATTCCTCTCAGTTACATTACCCTTGTTCCAGCCCTACCAGGCCTACTACACTTTCCTCCCCATCGATTTTGTATCACTTGTTGTTCCCTTGTCCCTGGGCTTGTTAACACCCACTTCCTTTCCCCACCTCCTCCTCTCCCATGCCCCCCCAGAACAGTTGGTCCCATTGTTTTCTCCTCTAGATTCTTTATCCTGCCTCTCTTATCTAGATAGACCTGCAGAGATAATAATGTGCACAAAAAAACAAGATAGAGGAAAACAAAGCAACAAAAGAAAACAAAACAACAACAACAAAAGAAAGAAAAGCATGTAAATAGTTCAAGGTCTGTTGGGTGACTTTCAGGAGTGTTTTCCGGTTGAGTCTGATGGGGTGCCATGCCCTGGCCCCAGACCATTTTTGTTATTCCCTGAGGGCTCCTTGCTCTGTCTCCCTTGCTGCTCTGTGCACACCTGGGCTGTGATTTTATAGGCGCAGATCTCCGCGTCTTTCACGTTGAAGAGCTGCTGGGTGGGCTTGAACCTCTGATCTGTGGTTAACAGATTTATATGCCTCAGGATCTAACATTCCCCTTTGCAGGGGATAAGCAGCCAGGAATGTGCCTTGAAAGGAGGACAACCAGGACCTTGAAAAGGACCTGGGCCTGGATCAGGCTGGCATGGGATGGGGCCAGTGGCATCTTGCACACCTTCTGTTCATGGGCGCTATGCCAGGTACCGTTCTAGTATTGTCTGCTGTCCTTGATCTCAAGCCCCTGTGAATGTAGAGAAGAGTGGCTTCTCGAGGTCCTACAGCTGGCCGTGGGTTGAGCTGGGGCTTTAAGCCTTTGCCTGGCGGTTTCTAGATTCCGAATTCTTTTCATTTGCCCTCCCCTTGGGGGGATGCTATACTAGTGTGGAAATATAGAGGATTTACTCTTTGGATATCATTTTTTTTCCTCCTTCAATTCTCCCAACTCTGAATGAAGGAGGCTGGATTTTATAAGTGGACCTTCAGCCAGATGGCCCTCTCCTCTGTGGGAAACAATCAGTCTTCCTTGGGAGTTCTGGGAGATTCCATTACCCTGCTCAGATCACTGGAGGCTTCCTGAGTGCCTAATGGCTTCAGGGGATTAAAGGAGGAAGATAAGGGTAGGGGAGGGATGGAGGAAGGACCCCCAACTTCTTTAGGGCCTTTATCCCCTCATTGAATCAGGCAATCAGATTTAGACTCATTGGCCCTCCCAAACAGACAAGGTGTGAAAAGCCAGGTCGTGGAAAGAGGATGGGCTAATTCAGTGCACTTTTCACATGGTCCCGCAGACTAATGTAGGAGTCCCTGGTGGCGCTAATAATTAGGCCGTTGATTGCTAGCTGAAAGGTTTGAAACCACTCCAAAGTGCTCAGAAGAAAGAACCTGGCAATCTTGCTTCCTAAAACTCACAGGCTTGGGAACCCCATGGAGCACACCCCTACTCTGTACACCACGTGGGTTGCTGGGAGGTGACATGGTTTGGTTGTGAGCTTGAAGACAGAGATTCTACCCCAGCAACAAACTGAACCCTTATTTTTTATTTGCCACAAGGGAATGGCAAATGGAGAGGGCCTTCCAGACAGCTCTGTGGTTGTTGCAGCCTGAAGTGGTCTTTATTCTGGGGGATATCTTCGATGAAGGAAAGTGGAGCTCCTCCCAGGTATGACCCTGCAGTACCATCATGACAGCCTTGCTTTGCGGCCCAGCAGAGACACTTTGGAGAATCCCTAAGACAGCATTAGCTCATGCTGGAAGTTTTACTTCCACTGATACTCTAAGTGGATAGTATCCACTTTGAAGACTTTTAGGACCTGTGCGTAATGCTGCTCTTGAATTAGGTTGGCTAACGTTGTCTCTGTGTGTGAGAGATACATGGACTAGCCAGGCATTCCTGGAATCATGGGATGCACTTTCCTGTGAGGCTCTTGGGGATCGGAAAAATAGTCATGATGGTTGCAGTTTGTTAAAAGTTAAGCGATAAGGAAACATGAGGTAAAGAAAATCCCATAGGTTATATATATATATTACACACACACATATATATAGGTTGTAAAATGAGGTTAGATTATTGTTTTGTGTTTGTAAAATAAGGGCTTTTCTGACTTTGTTATTATTAGTGTAAATACTATTTGTTAAAATGAAATATTTGAGAATACACTGAAAGACTGTGTACTCAGAATATTTTCCTAGGTTGAATTATATCTAAATTTCTTAGGATAAATTAATTACTACCCAGAACAAAGGTTCATTGCCAGCCCCAGGATGTCCATCTAATAGTTATTTTTAGGCTTATTAAAACAATTTTATGTCCATCATTCTCAAACTTTTATAGTGACAGACGCTATCAGAGGCATCTTGAAATAGCTATTGAATTTTCTTAACCGACTGTCCTTTTCCCCCTCCTGTATCTCACCCGTTCTCATCCGCACAATTGGCAAGCAGGGGACCATGGCATTGAAGGACGGCTTTATCTTTGTTTTAGCCTTGATGCAGGAGGACTCCACGTGGCCTGTCCGAAGAGCCTGCTCTTTGGGAATGTCCAAATTCTCTCATGGGCCCATGCGTGCTCTTCAGGGGGGTCTTGAGATAGTTGTATGAAAAATATTTGGGGGGATTACCAGTTAATATTTGAAGATTCAGGAGATACCATTTCATTAAAATTTGGCATCAAATTAAAGAAGGTATTGTGTTGTCTTAGGAGAAAAAAGCATCAGATTTAAAAATGCTAGGTTCTACATTAGCTGTATGAGCATCTGATTTAATATAGACTAATAAACTTCTAGTCATCACAGTAGGGGTATTTGGGGCCCAAGGGAGCAGGTTTTCTGGCTCTCAGCAGCCACTCTCTTTTCTCCAAAGGCCTGGGCCAATGACGTCAAGCGGTTTCAGAGAATGTTCAGACACCCCCAGGATGTGCAGCTGAAGGTGGTCGCTGGAAACCATGATATTGGCTTCCACTATCAGTAAGTAGTTCCCTAAAACATTGTACTGTGATCCCACCGCTGGTGAGTCAATGTGGACTCCCAGGAAATGTTGGTATCACAGGACAGAGTAGAACTGCCCCGTGGCATTTCCAATGGACGCAGGTCGCTGCCTTTTTCTCCTTTGACTTTTTAGTTAGTGGCCAAGTGCCTACCTGCTGTACCACTGGGGCTCCCACTGCATCACGAGGGCCCTTGTTAACCGTGATTTCAGACAAGCCAAAATTCAGATGATTGTCTATTTGAGGCGATATTTTGGCCATGCTTCTCCTCAAAAGGTATACATTTTGGAATGTGAGCTCTAAATGGCAAGGATTTGGTCTTGGTGCTAATATTTGCGTAAGGGAAAGAATATTGGCTGTGGGAGATAACAACTTGAAGCTGCCGTTTCATACCAATTGCTCTGCTTGGGCATCAGAATAGAACAAGACCACTTAGCTAACAGTCACACAGTGATGACGAATGGCCAGCTTGGCTTGTGTACTTCACCTTCAGAGTCACTCACGCAATCCTTATTATAATCCCGTTATTCTATCTGTGGACTAGTGGGGAAACTGAGCCCCAGGAGGGCTAAGTAACTTGCCTTCATTTTCAGGCTTAGTCAGGAGTGGAGCTAGGAATCAAGACCTCTGAACTAATAACGGTGTCGATGCGAATGCCCTGCGAGTGATTTTCCTTGTTCCCAACTCTGAAACGTTCTAAAATTCTTGTTCTGAAAGTGGCTTCTCTTTACAATGACATGTAGGATGGACAGATACAAAATACAGCGCTTTGAGGATGTTTTCGCCCCTGAAAGGCTGTTTTCTTGGAAAGGAATTAAGTGAGTATTTGCAAAGTCTTCTGGCAACTTTCTGCCATTGGGAATTCAGTTTTGTTATGGGGGCCACCATGTTGGGCCAGACCCTTCCTCATCTTGGCGTGGCTGACCCTGTCTGGCTGTCCTGACCTTGGGATCACCCCAGGAAGTTATGCAGATGGGACACCCTGGGTACCCTGATTGTCCGTCACATCCCATGTGGCTTTTTTTGTCAAATAACTGAGGGGTTTTAACCTTACCACTTGTGACTGCTCAGGGGCTGTGCATGCTGTCTGCAAAGCTGTGCAGCATCGCCCAAGTGTTGGAAAGGGTAGCCATCGTTCACTGTCGGTCTCTTAGTTTGGGATTAGCCACACACAGGTCTCACACTCCCCGCTTCCTCACTTGTGGGTTGCAGTGCCTCCCTAAGCCCTCCCTGCAGCTCAGGCTACATACAAATAATGACAGCTAACCATCGCTGAGCTTGTTCCAGTGGCATGCCATATTCTAGGTGTTCCTGCACAATTTCATTTTTTCCCTGACAACATGCTTATGCACAGTGATTATGCCCTTATCCCTACTTGTACAGGTGAGGGACAGAGGTGGTGAGCTATGTGCCCAAGGATGCATGGTCCTAAGGGTTAAGAATCTGAGCTTAGATGCAGCATGACTCTGGAGCACACTGCCAGTTGGGGTTTCTCACAAATATAGGTTTCAAAATCCTATTACCGTGATACCTCATGCTGCAAATTTGTCTGAACATCTTGTACTTAAAAATAAAGACAATTAGCTGAGATTTATAGCTGTTCTGGGGCTCGTTTTCATTTTATGGGGCGAATGGTACAGGGAAACAAACCACACATAGCCCCATAGCCATGGTCTTGTCTCGCGCAGTTTCGTGATGGTGAACAGCGTCGCTCTGGAGGGGGATGGCTGCAGTATTTGCTCCGAAGCAGAAGCTGAACTCATTGAAATTTCCAACACACTGAATTGCTCCCGAGAGGTAGGAAGCCTGGTAACCAGCACGGTGCTGTCTGTTCTGGTCGGTCCCAAGGACCCAAAGCACGCGTTTCTCTTGCTCCCCGCCCAGGGCCCATAGCCCCTAACTGTAGTGCCGGTTGGACCGAGGGGTAACTGGCCGCCTTCTCATCACTAGCTGGTGCCCCCATCCAGCCAGTGTGCAGCCAGGCAGCCACTCCCAGCCTCTGCCCCAGTGCTTCTGCAGGTAAGGGGGTCATAGGGGGTGGGGAGGGGCTCTGTATACTGGACAAAAGAGCCGAGGGCTTCAGGTCAGTCAGCCCTGCCTCTCTTTAAACAGCATTACCCACTTTACCGCAGAAGTGATGCGAACTGTGTCGGGGAAGATGCTGCTTCTCCAAAGGACAAGAACATCCCATTCAAAGAGAAGTACGATGTACTCTCCCAGGAGGCTTCACGCAAGGTTTGCCAGTGTGTTCTGATGCTACCTAATTAACCAGCATTTTAAAAAGAACAGAGAAGAATTTTAGTCGGAAGAGATAACATTTTGATCAAAAGAGTTATCACTGGAAGATGGAGGGCAAGACTTTGGGAATATGATTTTCCTTTCATATATAAGTCAATAATATTCTCAGTTATCCTTCCTTCAGAGTGTCCCCCCCCTCCAGTTTAAGTATATTTGGAAATATGATTGGCAGAGATAGAAATTTTTAGAGGCTTGTGCAGTTCAGTGCTTGGCTGTTGTCCATGAGGGGGGTGGAAGTAGCAGGTTCCAGATGCATATCCCTCTGGCAGGTTGAGAAAGACACTTTAAGCACAGATAGATACCCCTTGCTCTGGAGTGAAGCGGGTCGCCCCTCTCAAGTTGAGAAGGGACGACGTCTATGGGAATGTTTCCAGTTTTCCAACAGCACTTTAAAAGGGGTGAGGGTGGCCACTCTGCAGATGGTCAAGCAACTTTCTAATTCAGGTACTCGGTCCACACTTGGGTCTTGTACATCACTTCTTTCAAATGTATCTGGGCTGCGGCTCTGGGCCAACTTGTCTGAGGAATTGTATTTGAGTACAGTCCTGGACAGGGCTTTCACGAGGGCCTGGCTTCAAGGTAAAGGTCTTTACTAAGCCAGAGTCCGTTGCTCACCACTTGTTTCACTGGGTCCTTTGTTCATCTGCGTAGTGGGCAGGGCAGGGGCTCCTCTCCTCTCCCTGTCAGGGCTGAATGAAATGTCCTGCACTTCTTCAAGCACACAGGAGCCCCAGGGTTGGAGTGGTTGTGCGTTGGGCTGATATAGATTATGCATATCTATATATCCATCATATATATATGATTTTATTTACGTTTTATAAATATAACCAAATTATTTTAAAGAAAAAAAATCGAACTACTTCTACAACATAACCAGGTAGTGATGGCAAGCCCTGGGGGCCCTGTGGCAGTGCCATCCCCTGAGCTCCTCCTCCTCTGTCCCTGCAGTTACTGTGGTGGCTGCAGCCCCGCCTGGTGCTGAGTGGCCACACGCACAGTGGCTGTGAAGTGACCCATGCTGGGGGCGTGCTTGAGGTCAGCGTCCCCTCGCTCAGTTGGAGGAACAGAAACAATCCCAGTTTCATCATGGTAACGTTTATTTTTATCTGAAAGCTTTTATAAATAACTGTCAACACTAGTAATCAACCACTCAATTGTTGCAAATCTTTAAAAGTATACAAAAGCCATACATAAACTACACCCCTACATATATTCAGAGACATTGCTAACTTGCCAAACACCACTCTAGGAATATAGAGAACACGATTCCGAGGGTGGTTAACTGCAGAGGGAGGGAGGGAGGAGGATTTTTGAGCAGAGTGTTTTTCAGGAAGGGTCCAGTGCCCTTGGATGTGAGTATGTCTATGTGGTCCTGTTCTACATGTGTTCTAGCCACATCCTAACTTTCTTCTCTCTATTCCAGGGCAGCATCTCGTCCTCAGATTATTCTCTCGCCAAGTGCTACCTGCCCCTGGAAGACACAGTCCTGCTCACCTACTGTGGAGCCTCGGCGCTCCTCCTGCTCCTCATCCTGGCTCACTGCAAACTAATAACCTTGCCTTGCCTTTCCGGCCGGAGCCTTCTGGGGAAGTACAAGGCAGTGTGAAAAGCAGGAGACTTCTGTTTTTCATAATATCAAAGCCAAAGAAAGTGAACGTGGGGGCAGTTCTCCTGTTAGAATCAAGTAGCGGTGCATCCAAATGTAGGCCATCTGTGTGCACACCACAGGGATTCTACACCACGGATGTTCACCACTGTAGAATAAATAAATTGATTGAACTTTTCTCATGCTATAAAAATGGAACACGTAATCTACAACAAACCTGTTGTGGTGTTTTATCAAATATATGTATAATCAAAGACTATTTGTATAGTATGTAAATGTTATGGTGTCATTATTTGCATGCACTACACGGTCCTGATGCCCCCCCACCATCCCGGGGCCGGGGGGGTGGGGTAGGGGGGGCGAGTCTTCAGCACCAATCCACTTGGGGATGGTGTGTCTACAGGAATGTTGGGTTTATTCCGTTCTCCTATGAAGTGGCTCAAACTGCTGTGTTGTCTAAAGCTGTACCCTTGAAAGGTACAGGTGCTCTAAGCAGGAACACACTGCTTTTCATAGACACTTGTCCATGCTAAGTCAGGGGCATCAGATTGCAAAGTTGGTGTGACTTTCTCTCCAGCAGGCCAGTCTGTCAGAACTGAATCGAGGGCTGGGATGAACAAACGAAGCTCGGATCAGAGTAGAAAATGGTCCCTGACATGTAAAAAACAAACCCACCTTGTAATTCTAGAGCAGATAAAATGTACTTTTGGTCTAGGTCTGGTTTTTCTTTCACCAAACTTTTACATGAAAAATTAGTGGGAAACTCTTGACTACTAATGGGCATAGCAATATACAACTACTGTGTGTGGGGCCGGGACGGTCTCTCTCCAGCGGTGGTTGCTCCTCATCCCAAGGGGAAGGGAAGCGAGCAGAAGGCGCCTCCTTTGTTGTCTCAGTTGCACTGAGACCTTCATGAACCAGGTAGGAATGAGGCGAGTGGTGACATCAAAACAGACAAATGGAAACTAAAGAGTATGTCACTTGCCCTCTCTCTGGATCACATGATTGAGAATATGAATCTGGACATGGTTACAGGCTTACACCCGAGTAAACTCCTTCAAGGTTATAGGTCTAGACAGAACATGAAGCCTCCCCTGTGAGGTGAGCCATGCTCTTTGGATATCCTAACTAGCTAACTATTGAGACTACATTTGTACAACTTTTTCCAGTGGGACAAATAACCATGTATTTTCACTTTATAGTTCAAAGAAATGTTTTCAAATATTTGCTCTTTCAAAGACAGATGATAACGCCATCCTTTAATTCCCTTAAGCAGACACAAATGTTGGTCCCATCTGGCTGCCGATGTGGCGGTTTGGGTGTACAGGACAACCTGTCGTTCCGTGAAGGGGTCAGAAGACGCCGTAATTAAGGGAATGGTGGCCTGTTCTCGGGGCACAAGTATAAACGCCTGTAAATACCAAAATAGTAGCCGGAGAAAACAAAACGAACTTCTTGGCTTCCTGGAAACAGATCAAATTACCAGCAGTACTCTGATGGCAGGGTTTGAAGCTGAGGCTCAGGGAAGCAGAGGCCGGTGGCTACAAACAGCTGTATGGGAAAGTGCGGGTCTTAATGAGGGTGAGTTTTATATATATATATATGTAGTAATCAAGGAGTACTTTTTACATGTACCGACATGATAAAAGATCCTGTGTTCTAAAGACACCGGTCATTCCTCTTTTCAAAGCAAGCAGTATTGTTGACATGAAGCTGTTTAGCACAATGAACACATTTACAGCTATAACCATAATCAAGGCACAAAAATCTACACGGCATTTTCTCTAGTAGTTATACAACATAATATCACATCTTCAGGTCTGCACAGTATGAGAAACTGACAACAAAGCAACAATAAAAGACTATGGAAGAAGACCCTTGTCCTAGAAAAGTCAATGTGCAGATTGATTTGTAGACAGGATACATTTCATAGCAATCATGTGGTAGGTTTTCTGCCTAAATGTAACACCAGGTGCTTGAGACTGGCAGGGATTCTACGTGTGAATGGAAAGTTTTCCTTGACTTTGTCTCTCAGGGTCTATTCTAAGACCAGATGGACAGCTTAACTGGCTCCTCAACCACACTCTACTGGAAACAGTGCTTTCTCCCATCTCACGTTCTTGATGAATCCACAAGGGAAGGAAGGGGTTACTATTGGGAGCCCCAACCCTTTGTCCCTGAAGGAGAGAATGTTTGCCATGATACAAGTTGGTGGAGCTTGAGGATAGTTTGAAAACAAACCCAACCTGAGGGGAACAGAGAGGTAGCCAGAGACTTCGTGGTCGCTGGGTCATACATACAACAGTTCAGACAGGAGGAAACTAGGTGCGTTCTACTTCTACCTGGCATGGTCCAACAGACAGAGACAGTCCTGGAACAATCTCTCTCCAAGAGTGGAAAGAGGAGAGCCAGGTGGAGAAGTACAGGAATCTTCACAGGAGCTCATACTGCTTGAGGTGCATCCTCTGGATGATGTCTCGGCAGTCGTTGAACACTCGGCGGATGTTCTCCGTGTCCACAGCACAGGTAAAGTGCGGATAGCAGTAGTGCTTGCCATCACCTGTCGCTGTGCTGATCCTCTGCAAAAAAAAAAAGCAGTCTACAAAGGGCCTCTTGCTATAATACCATACTCGCCTGACTTGCGTTTGCAGGAGAATTTAGGCAGTGCCTCGGCCAAGGACTGCAGGTTTCATTGCCGTCTTCCTGATTTGACATAGGAAGTGTTTAAATAAGGAACACTGTGCTGGGAGCCCAAAGAACCTTAAGCTTATCTTCTACCCACAAGGAGCAGGGAGTTGATTCCGATCCAACATGACTGTGTCGCTGGGGGCTCTGCAAAATCCTTTCCCAACAAAACCTTTGAAAAAGCTGAGGAGACTCAAGAACCTGATTAAAAACAAACAACAACCTGATTTCTGTATATGAAATCCAGGACAGGTAAACCTACAGAGACAGGAACAAATGGATCAACAGTTTCTTAGAGTCATGGCATGGGAGGAAGGGAGGAAATAGGGAGATAATTATAAATGGGTTCAAGGAAGAAAATGTTCTAAAATTGTGGTGATTGGACAACTCTTTAATAGGTTTAAACTACCGAATGTTATGGTATATGTATTATATGCCAATAAAACTGTTAGACAAAAAACCCCTGGGTTCTGGGCCTCCCCTGAGGTACAGAAACCTACCAATCACACCTCGATATTTCAGAGGAATCACCACAAAATACCCGCTCCCCAAAAGCCAAAGATTCTGTGTCCCGCTGGTGGGACCTCTATGGGGCTGCTCCTCCCCTCAGCACTCCGACCGTCAGCAGAGAGGAGAGGAAAAGGTGAGCGGATGTATTGTCTCCACACCCGCTCCTAGCTAAGCCCTCAGCCGACGCCAGTACTTCTCCATGCAACAGCCCTGGGAGAGGGGAGGTCACATCCTCAACAAGGAGGATGCAAATGTGATTGAACATGGCTGGGAAAATTCAAAGGTTCCCGCACTGGAGGGTCAAGAGGGTCATAGCCCACCCGGTGCATTCTGGGCAGACAGACTACGTAGCTGGAGGCTGACTCAGTATCTGGCTGTAACTCTTGGGGAAGGACTTTGGAAACACTTTCTCTGAATACCAGGGGAATTAAGCTGCCCAAGGGAGTGCAGAACTTAGATGAGCCTGTGCCAGGGGATAATGAGAACAGGAAAGTTTGAACCTCTTCGCTCTGTGGCCCCAGGGTTCAGAGTGATAACGCCTGCCTGCTTTTTAGCCCACACCCAAGGAGACCCTCAACATTGCCCTGGTGTACAGTCAGTGAACACAGCTCAGATTTGTGAGAAGGATATTCTGTTCTCACTCCGTGTTGGTTTATACTGACCACTGACCTATACTCTGTGAGCAACCAGGAGACTATCTCAAAACCAGGATCCTGACAAAGGTAAAAGTGAAATGTTTCCTGCCATCAGCCCCTGCTCTAAATAGGCTAGTGCCAAACAACCCAATCACCTTTGACTCTTTGGGATCCACAACAGGTGCTTTGGGATTGCTGTCGGGGGAACTGATCGCAATGATCAACATACATCACCCACCCCCAACCCCACCGGGGGATGAGCAACAGAACTATGGGTGAAGGGAGACAGAAGACGGTGTGAAATATGAAAATAAAAATAATTTATATTATTTTTAAGGGTGGGAGAGGGAGGGAAAAAAGAGGAGCTGACAGTAAGGGCTCAAGTAGAAAGAAAATGTTTTGGAAATAATGATGGCAACATATGTACAAATGTGCTTGATACAATTGATGCATGATTGTTATAAGAGCTGAAAGAGCCCCCAATAATGATTTATTAAAAATAAATATATAAATAAATCAAAACTAAACCCCAAACCCCAACAACCTATCTCAGAAGCAGCAACCTCTGTGCATATGCACAAAGAAGTAAATGGCTAAATGGAGTGGGGTGCATGCACATGTGGACGTGGAAGGAGCTCTTGGAAGAAGGGACAGCTTCGGGTATTCCTATAAAGGAGTGCAGGGGAATGATCTTCAGATGCTTTTACCAAATACAGAAACAAACAGAAGCGAGAAGAACTCAGGGAAGCACTATGAAATAAGTGCACACGTCAAAAAGGGAGAAAGAATTAAACCCTTAACACATTAACTACACAATTAGTACAAGACCAGCAAACAAACTCTCAGGGACTAGATGAAAAGAAGTAATGAGGATAAAAACAGAAATAAATGAACCAGAAAACCAAAACAAAACAGAAAAAAACCGAAAACATGACAAGCTGCTTCTTTGAAAAGATTAACAAAATCAGTAAACCACTGGCAAACCTAATGGATAAAAACCATTAGAAAAAGCAATCATTCTGAAAGGGAGATGAAATGGGCAACATGACAACAGAACCGCTACCAACAACAAGACAACTGCATGTGATAGGTTATTTATTGTGCCAAATGGGCCAATGAACACATGTGGGTTTAATTGAAGGGCAGTTTAATTGAAGGGCAGGGAGATAAATGGCTTGGTGAGCCTTGCCTTTCTGGTCTCTTGCTCTTTGATGACTGGACCATTGTGCAGCTGCCTTGGCTGGTTCTCTGCTTCAACTTGTGAGCTACATTACCTGTGGGACACCCAACCCATGGACTGTGTCGCTGTAGTTTGAAGTTCCTTCAAGACCTGCTTCACCACGCTACTGGTGTATACATCGCTTGAGCTGGGGACTGTTGGACCCTGTCATCTGGCTGACTGTTGGTGACCTGCCTTGCTGTTTGCTGTCTGTGGCTGGATTGCCT